TTTATGTTTTTCAATAGCACCAAGTTCGCAAAGAAAGTGACGTATGTCAATTGTCTTCAAGAACTGTCCGAGCATATTCACTTAAATCAATTGGATATCCCCAAAGAGGTTCAAGAGTAAGTCCTAGACTACACTATAGTTCTTCCACTGGCTACCAGACTACTATAAATATCTGTGGTTTGGGGTGGGAACCCTGTGGTTTTATGTTTATTGAACTGTTTGAAACATTATTCAAATTTGCCTCTCAAAAATATCAACAAAACATAGATAGCACAGGGATTCCTTCAGAACCCACAAATACTTAGTCTGGCAAGCTTGTGGTACTTCTAATAAGTGCAAAATACACTATCCCCCTGTTTGTTAAGAACGATGACTGTTACTAATGTTACTAATGTTGTTACTAATGTGCCAAACAAAATTGTACTATCCATGTTACCAAACTGGGTTTTTGTCGCCAGAAAAATATGTCACGCGTCAAGCGTCTAAATGTCTACGACTCAGCCYACAAACATCATTTGAACTTTTAGTGAGCATTCTGTTCTGCACATGTTGGCATCCTTGTGAAAAGTTTGGGAAGAAAACTGAACAGTAATCACTCATCTGTTTAAGTTTGTATGACATACATGACAATCCAGGGTTGTCAATGAAATGATGATCAAAAGCACCGGGTTTGGTAAACCCGAAATCACTAGAGCAAGTAGTTGAGGCATACTTGTCACCAGTCTCGCTCAAAATTTAAGATGGCGGACAACAATAGTTGTAGTTTTGATTGTGTTGCAGTTTTCGTAGTATAGCAACAAAGATTGGGTAAAATTTATTTTATTCACACATTTTGCTAGTTTAAAGAACTTTAATTAAGATTTACAATTACATTGGGAAGTGGCTGAGTAGGCGGCTGAGTTAGTGAGAGAATCGGGAATTGGCTGAGTAGGTGGCCAAATTAGCAAGAGTAGACGGCAGAATCTGCCGGTTGCCAACTTCTATTGACAACCCTGTATATCATGACATACACCAAAATGAAACATGGAGACCAATTTAAATAATTATTGTTCTGGACTGACAAGCCTCACACACATGTGTTAAACACATTTATATTTCCACATGAACACGACTCGGCTAGTCAATCCAGAACGATAAGTTTAAAAAGTTAAGGGTAGAATTTTAATCCCATTTTAGGCACGATGAAAGAGTACTGACAAGGTACAAACCCAAGCTATCTGCATCAAATTCAGT